CCCCTCCCCCCCCCAAAAAAAAAATCAACGACATGTTGGCAGAATGCTATGGCTAGCCGCCACGGCCCGCCGCTCTGAGAACCAGTATCACGTGCATGCAGGCAAACGCTAAAGAGGCTGCGCTGAGTGTTTTCCCAAGCCAAATACAATGAATATGTGCCTCGTCACTCTTGTACGATGGCACGGCATCTACTTTCAATGCCGCGAATACCTCGGAGCTGTGCCTTTGCACGGCCAGTGAGAAAGCAAGAACCACAATGATTTCCCAGCTGGGCACTGCTCTTTTCTGCATGAGGCTGCCAGAAACACTGTTTTAAGGCTCACGGTGTGTCGTTCTTGGCTAGAACCACCTCCGGCCCTCCGATCAACACTGCCAAGGCCTTCTTTCTGGAGTCCTTGCGCGGGCTTGGTGATGATATTAAGGATTCCAGGCATTGCTTACATTAGCAGGGCTCCAAGCTCCAAGTAGCCAAATTTTGGTCATGTTCATAGACGTTGGGGCCCCCTGCGAGCGCTATGTATGGACAGGGAACCCCAGGGTAAGTAAATTTGATGTCGAACGCAATAGAAACGGCCATCATCAGGCACCAAAGGCGATGATGTTGGCAATGCCGCTGACGGTCACATTACGGCGGCGGGGGTGCTACCAGTATGACAGGGGTGTCGATCCAGCTACCAAAGAATGAATGGGTTCTATAACAGCAACCCTCGAAACCGGCACCATTTGCCGACAGATGTCCACCACAAGGTACCTCGACCTAAACCTGTGGCATGTGGCCACTACTCTGGGGTTACTCTTAAAGTTACTGAAAAAAGGAAACCCTATTATTGAATTAAATTTACATATCATATATATATAATTATATATATATACGTATATACCCATATCATGGTAATTTGCTTCAAGTTCCTTAACAGAAATTCGAGCTGGGCCGAAAACTACATCTCCTTAATAAACCCATCATGCCACATTGTAAACCTCTATAATCAGGTTACCTAACCCATCATAAGTAATCCTACCTAGACCTCTACACCCAAGCCCTGTTTTAGGGTACATGATTTTGTATATAAAAGATACTAGGCATACAAGTAGAATCCTAAAAAAGGGTAGGGCATAGGGGTCTGGTCTAGGTAGGGTCCCACAAAATATGAGGTGATGGCAGCTGTCTCTGTTAGGACTTAACTGCCACATGGTAGCTACCAACAACAAAAGGGGTTCCCAATGTAGGCCCCCAAAAGTTCCAGGATGCATACTAGGGACCGCAATAGGCCCCAACAGTTAGGGCTTAGGGTTACTATAGGGACTACCACGACGGACGCCTGATTTCTAGAGAGCTTCTGCTCTAAACACCTAAACCCCTAAACCTACTAACCCCTAAACCCTAAATCCTCAAATCCCTCAATGCCTAAACCCTAAACCCCTAAACCCCTTAACCCGAAATCCCTCAACCCTACACCCTAAACCCTAAATAGCAGTTTCCATGTTCTTTTCCATAGTCCCTATATCAACCGTAAGTAAATCCTATAGAAACCCTAAACCCTAAACCTAGACCCTAAGCCCCTAATCCCTAAACCCTAAATCCTCAAATCCCTCAATCCCTAAACCCTAAACCCCAAATCCCTCAACCCTGCACCCTAAATTCTGAATAATAGTTTCCATGTTCGTTTCCATTATCCCTATATAAACCCTGAGTAAACCCTATAGAAACCATAAACCCTAAACCTAAACCCTAAAACCCTAAACCCTAAACCCTAAGCACCTAAACCCTAAACCCTCTGGCCCAACTGAAAGCCTCGGGTTGCCCCAAGGCAAGCTGTAAGGCCCAGGAAGAACGGAGAAGAGCTTCAAGATCTACGAGGTCCATGGGTTTGTCCTTGGTTGCGGTTTTGGGTTCTTGGGTTTAGGGTTTAGGGGTTTAGGGTTTTAGGGTTTAGGGTTTTAGAGTTTAAGGTTTTGGGTTTAGGGTGTGTAGAACTATAGGGCTCGTGTCTGGAGTTTTGAGCTGCTCTTGGCTGTTTTTTTGTGTTTTGATTTTGGCCTGTGCAGTTTCTATTCATCCTGAACTTGAGGGTTTAGGGTTTAGGGTTTGCACACTAGGGTTTAGGAGTTGACGGTCTAGGGCTGAGGGTTTATGAGCTTAGGGTTTACGAGCTCCAAGATCTATAAGGTCCATGGATATGTGCTTGGTGGAGGGCTCATAGGGTTCGCAGGGCTTGGAGCTTCGAGTGTAGAGGTTAGGGGTTCATGCCTCAGGGTTGTACAAGGTCGATGCGTGTTTCCTTAATTAAGGCCTGAGGATTCATACTGTTGATGGCCGTATGTATGTTCTCGTGACATAATTCCCAAAGTGTAGGCATGTCATCATGCAACAGCCTTGTCCATCAACTGTAGGACTTGCAGTTCAATTTGTAGGCCTTTCGGTATTTTTGCGTGAAGTTGAAGCCTGGGCTTAGTTTGTGGAGCTTACGGTTTGTTTTTTTGGACTTACTGCTTGACGCTAGGGTTTGAGAGGCTTGGGGGACATGCATCAAAGAATTAGTAGCAAACTTTGAGGATGTATCAGGAGTATCTTTTGAGGCTATGTCTGGGGAATATAATCACTGAAGCCTTGAGGGTCGAGGGCTTTGGGTTTTTAAGGTTCAAGGTTTAGGGTTTTAGTTTTAGGGTTCAGGTTTTAAGGTTGAAAGTTTAGGTCGAAGGACCTGTCCGTTGAAGATCGCTATCTCCTTTGCGCGAGGCTTCTTGGGGAGTGTAACAAGGTACGCAAGGCTTGAGAAACAATCTCATCTTTGCCAACCCAACCCTCTAACCTTGGAAGTCTGGGCCCCTAATGTGGGCCCTTAGGCCTTTTAGGGAGATTCTATGGAGACCCTTGAAGGCGCATAAAGGGTACATAATTAGTAGGTATATAAGGATCCCAGTGGCAAGGGCCCATACCGAAGGCTCATGGTTTCAACGTTAGAAACCGCCAAACTCTAAACCGTGTACTGTACTTGGGGCTACAGGGCCTCGGGCTGGAAGTTTCGGGCGCGCTACTCGTTGCCCCTAAATTCAACCCAAACAGCAAGGGATACACAGGAATATATGGGGGGGAGATTGTAATAAAGACTGATGTGTATTGGGTGCCTGTTTTTTGGGGAAATCTCCCAAATGAAAGATGCCCCTCAAGATTAGATCGAATGCGAAATGGGGGGGATGTCTGTAGCAGTAGGGGCACTGCCCTTTGATCCCTAACTCCAACCCAGACACCCTATAGGATCCAAAATACTAGAACCTCCTTTTACTGCCCGTGGTTCCCCAACGTAGTATATAATAGGATCAACTTCCTAGTTTTTGGCCCTGCTCAGATCCTTTGGGCTGTCTGGGAAATCCAAGTGCGATCGGATGTCGTTCTCCTCCAGCCCCTGGCGAGGGAAAAAAGGATTCGCAACGTCAGGCTAATAGTTTGGGGCTTAGGGTTTAGATTAGGGGTTTCCGGTTGTTTAGGTTTGCGGGCTTAAGCCTTGGTGGGGTTTCGGCCGCTTAGGCTAACTTTAGGGTTTAGTGTTTTCCAGGGTTTAGGGTCTACCCAGGTCCTGCTATGTAGTTCTTTTTAGATGGCAGATTACATAGCATCTTCCCGAAAAAAACCAAAGCAGACCCCAAAAGGGACAGCATAGGAGCCCTTGGATGGGGTTTAGGGTGAATTTTGCCAGCAGAACCCTAGGGCTCCCAGCTACTAAAAAAAAGTAGGCGATTGAGCTATGTAACTATAGCGTATATAGAACCTAGAGCCCATTATTTACGTCACTTGGAGCCCTAGGAAGAAGTCTCGCGCCTTTGAGGACTTTGAGTTCGGGATGTGGAGTATGGTGCTCAGGGGTGTGGACTACACGTTGTAGCATGTAAATGCTTGAGTTTAAGTACACTTTCGCATTGGCCGTACGGGGTTCCTAAGTGTTGCAAGGTTTTTCCTATGGACTATAGGGGTTTGGGCTCTACTAGCGGACTATGACTGCCCTGCGATCGGGAAAAATCAGAGCTGCTAATAAGGGATCCTAATTACCACAACCCTACCGTAAGGACTCTTTGCTGTCACATGACTACCATAGTGTCCAAAATTTCGTTGGCTGGGGGAACGCTAATCCCTTAATAGTTGTGCGGCACTTCGTGACGAGCATAGTTGTCACTATGGACATCCATTCAGCCTTAATAATCTTGCAGCCATTGCCAATATCACGTTTTGATCAAAGACTATATGCACCATATGCATACCTAAACCTGAAACCCAAGTCCTGAACCCTAGAACTTTTCAACCCCAGAACCTTAAACCCCCAACCCTAAACCCCTCAACCCCAAAACCCTAAAACCCCTAACTCGCTAAACCCTGCACCATGTGTGAACCCAACTAGCTCTGGCCGGACTTGGCAGAAACATCCCGCCCTGAGCTGCAAGCTCTGAACCTATAGGTTTAGGGTTTAGGGTTTAAGGTTTAATTCATGGTTTAGGGTTTAAGGTTTAATTTATGGTTTAGGGTTTAAGGTTTAATTCATGGTTTAGGGTTTAAGGTTTAATTCATGGTTTAGGGCTTAAGGTTTAATTTATGGTTTAGGGTTTAAGGT